GATTCGAACCCACCACCTTAGGTGTACGTGGCTGGCACCTTAGCCCGGTGAGCTATAGGCGCCGAGCCTCTTTATTGTTTTTGTTATTATTTATCCATTTATTTGTTTAGAGACAGGGTCATGCTCTATCACCCAGGCTGGTCTTGAACTCCTGACCTGAAGTGATCCTCCTGCCTCGGCCTCCCAAAGTGCTGGGATTACAGGTGTGAGCTACCACACCCAGCCATAGGTCACTTTAGAGTAGTGGTTCTCAACCTTCCTAATGCTGGATGCATTGTCACTGTTACAAGGTAGTCTTGACCCACAAGTTGAGAACTGCTGCTTTAGAGGAACTAAATTTGCATATGTAGGGCAGGCAAACACTCAGAGATGCTGGCAAGTCCAGCCTTTAAGTCTTCCCTTCTCCCACAGGCAGAGAGCCCGAGACGGGAGTACCTGTGTGTACCGACTCCTTGTCCAACTTCTAGATGCCAACCAGACCGTTCTAGATACATTCTCTGCTGTGCCGGATCCCAGCCAGCAGTGGAACAATAATAGCTGCCTTTGGGTGAGTCTCTTATCAGAAGGGTGGGGAAATAGTGGCTTCAAATCAATGGTGGTCATTTTTTTCACCTCTCATGGTTTATATGAGTTAATAATTTGAGAAGGGCTCAGCTGGGCAATTCTGGTCTAGTGTCTCACATATAGGTAGTAGCTTTCCTGTGCTGCCTGGACTTGAAGAGCCCAGTGATGATGGTGTGTATGTTCCTACCAGCTGGTGGCTAGCCAGGCGTCTCTTAATTTAGTCTGAGAGCTTTTTCATAGGTTGTCTGGCTTCAGCTGCTTTGGGCTTCCTCAGAGCATGGCAGCCTCAGAGCAGTCAGATTGCTCACATAGTGGCTCAGGAATAAGTATTCTGGAGAAATAGGCAGAAGCTACATTACTTCTCTGAACTGGCCTTGGAAGTCACTTGACAAAATCACTTAGCATCATTTTTGTCACATTTTTGTGAATCTGGGTGGCAGATTCAAGGTGAAGGGAATTAGATAACAGTTTTTTTGTTTACTTTTTATTTACTTATTTATTTATTTTTGAGACATCATCTCTCTGTGTTGAGCAGGCTAGAGTGATGGGTGTGGTATCACCCTAGCTCGCGGTAATCTCAAACTCCTGGGCTCAAGCGATTCTCCTGCCTCAGTCTCCCAAAGCACCCACTACCACACCCAGCTAATTTTTCTATTTTTAGTAGAGATGGAGTCTTGCTCTTACTCAGGCTGGTCTTGAATTCCTGGGCTCAAGGGATCTGACCTCCCAGAGTGCTAGGATTATAGGTGTGAGCCAGCATACCTGGCCTAGATTCCAGCTTTTGATGAAGGAGAGGTGAGATTCCAGAACATCCTGTGACACAATGGGGGATGTTGCTGCAGGTACCCTGGGAAGACACCATCTGCCCTCAGCCTCAGCTTTTTTTTTTTTAATTAAATCATAGGTGTGTACATTAATGCAATTATGGGGTACAATGTGCTGGGGTATTATACAATTTAAAATACTTCCATCAAACTGGTTAACATAGCCTTCACCGCATTTTCTTAGTTATTGTGTTAAGACATTTATATTCTACACTTAGTAGATTTAATTTGTACCCTTATAAAATGTACAAATAGGTGTGGTCCCACCAATTACCCTCCCTCCAACCATCCTCCCCCAGCCTCGGCTTTTAAGGGGAAGGCAGTGAAACAGTAGGGCTGACCCCTTCCTCTACCTGCAGGTCACCCACGTGTTTTCCAACATCAAGATGGGCGTCCGCCTTGTGTCTTTCGAACACTGGGGTGAGGAGACGCGGTTCTGGGCTGGCGACTATGAAGCCCGTGTGACCAACTCCAGTGTGATTGTGCGACTCTGCCTGTCCTAGTCAAGGGCTACCCTTCTTACAAAACAGCCTGGCCATGCCTTTCAGGACCTGGGACCATTGGCCAGGACCCTTCATTAACAAAGAGCTTATACCTCTCTGGCATACTGGGAACTCCTGGGTCCAGTCAAGAGTCCTCTGTCTTCAAGTTTTGGAAACTACTGGAAGAAGGTTCTTCTATCAGATCTACCTACTACTGCTGCTTTCAGGGGAGGCCTGCTCTACTGAGGGGAGACCCACAGGTAACCATGAGGGAATGGTGGGCCTGAAGAGAACCCCACCTCTTACTAGCAGCCCTAGCCCCCTCTGACCCATCCTCTCCCCTCTGCTGACCTCTTGTCTTCAAGAGAACTTGCTTCAGGAACTTTCTTGGTCCTTTGCGGGAAACCTTCAACTCATTTCTGAACTTAGACTCTCACCTTTAGGGCTAGCAAAATTCCAGCAGCCTTGGGCAGTGACACTAACCTGAGGCTTCTGAGCTGCAGGGCTGAGATTAGATCTCACAGCCAAAAGTCAGCTAAGTTAAAAAAAAAAAAAAAAAAGTTCAGACCAGGCATGGTAGCTTATACCTGTAATCCCAGCACTTTGGGAGGCCGAGGTAGGTGCATCACCTGAGCTCACAAGTTGGAGACCAGCCTGAGCTAGAGAGAGACCCTGTCTCTAAAATTAGCCAGACATTGTGGCGGGCACCTCCCAGCTGCTTGGGAGGCTGAGGCAAGAAAATCCCTTGAGCCCAAGAGTTTGAAGTTGCTGGGAGCTCTAACACCAGGGTACTCTAACAGGGGCGACAGATTGAGACTGTCTGCAAAAAAAAAAAAAGTTCAGGGACAGGTTTTTCTACCCACACTGACTTTTCCAGAAAATGAGATGGTTCCCTGAGCTCAATCATGATCTTTGAGGATTTCTGTAATTGTTTAGTGTTTAAAATTACTTTCTTTTTCTTTTTCTTTTTTTTAGAGACAGAGTCTCACTTTGCCACCCTTAGTAGAGTGCTATGGCGTCATAGCTCATAGCAACCTCCAGCTTTTGGGCTTAGGTGATTCTCTTGCCTCAGCCTCCCAAGTAGCTCGGACTACAGGTGCCTGCCACAACGCCCAGCTATTTTTTTTTTCCTTTTTGAGGCAGAGCCTCAAGCTGTCCCCCTGGGTGGAGTGCTGTGGCATCACAGCTCACAGCAACCTCCAGCTCCTGGGCTCAAGCAATTCTTCTGCCTCCACCTCCCAAGTAGCTGGGACTATAGGCGCCGGCCACAATGCCTGGCTGTTTTTTGGTTGCAGCCATTATTGCTTTTGGAGGGCCTGGGCTAGATTTGAACCCACTAACTCAGGTATATGTGTCTGGCACCTTAGCTTCTTGAGCCACAGGCGCCGAGCCCCGGCTATTTTTTTGTTGCAGTTTGGCTGGAGCCAGGTTTGAACCTGCCACCCTCTGTATATGGGGCCGGCACCCTACTCACTGAGCCACAGGTGCCTCCCTGTTTTTCATTTTGACCTTTTTTTCAAACAATGAGAGAATATTAACCACATGTATTCATTAGTCACATGTAATAAATTTGTAATTTTGCCTTGGCGCCTGTAGTTCAAGTGGCTAAGGCACCAGCCACATACTCTAGAGCTGGAGGGTTCAAATCCAGCCCGGGCCTGCCAAACAACAATGACAACTACAACCAAAAAATAGCCAGGCATTGTGGCAGGCGCCTGTAGTCCCAGCTACTTGGGAGGCTAAGGCAAGAGAATCACTGAAGCCCAGGAGTTGGAGGTTGCTGTGAGCTGTAATACCACAGCACACTACCCAGGGCTACAGCTTGAGGCTCTGTCTCAAAAAAATAAAAATAAAAAATAAATTTGTAATTTTGCCAGAACTTCTTCAGATGTTTTAAATATAATAGAAATGTGGTGTTACTGCCTTAGTGACTTTTTGATTCAGAGAAACAAGTAGTCCCATTTGAAGAGGGAAAAGCCTACACAGGAAAACATGAGATAATACTTGTAAAAGAATGGAAGAATTACAACAATATTTCCCCAAGGCCTAAAGAAATTACTGATTCAGGCAGAGATTATCAATCAGTGTTACAAGCATTAGGTAGGTGATGGGTGAGGACTTGGATATGGGTACAGTGTCAAAGTGTTAAAATGCCACATTTGTAACCTGCTAGCCAAGAGGTTGCTGTGAAAGCAGAGATGGTAAGTATGCCATCAGGCAACCCAGGGGCCATTCCTAGCATCACTATTGGTAGATCAAGATGTTCCAGGTCTGATGAGAATAAATGAAGTGCATCATTGCCTTTGTCAGATTGCATGCTGAATGCCTGTCTTGAATGGGTCAGACCTGTAGCCACACACCTGTTAAAAGGGATTGGTTCTAGGACACCCCCTCTACACATGTACCAAAATTCACAGATGTGCAAAGCCCCTAATATAAAGTGGCATGATACTTGCACACATGCATATGACCTTGCATACCACCCTGTATAAATCATCTCTAAATGACTTAGAATACCTAATACAGTGTAAATAGTGGTGCTGACAAAACTGTCCTTTTATTCTTAATATTTTCCATCTGGAACCATAGATATGGATACAAAGGGAATCAAGGAAGAGGAACAGGCCACCCCACACCCCTGAAGGAAGCAGCCAAACACCCCTGAAGGTGGTGAGTTTTGCCCTGTCATAATAAGGGAATGGTGGCTTGGCGCCTATAGCTCAACCGGCTAAGGCGCCAGCCACGTACACC